TCCGATCGATTCCGCGCCGAGTTTCCGTGACCCTACTACGTCAAAACAATGAACAATTATATCGGGAGGATTAAAAATAAGTCGAACGATATCCTCGCGATTTTCTCACATTCAGAAAATTTCTCTTGATTAATTCCACGGTGTGGGAAAATTTTTAAAGGGGAATAATCGGGATATAAAATTCGATAAGAATTTAAGAAGCGAGTAAGAATCTCTCTGATATATATATATTTTACTTATATATTTCTCTCGCGCGGTTTTAAATAAGGAGGTCTTTCACCAGAGAAATCATGCATAATTTCATATTTAGAAATATAGAGATAATACTATCTTGTGAAGCGAATAGAATGTGGTGATGCATTATGTAAGCCGATTTAGTTAGTGTTAGGTTTCATCGATAAAGTCATTTCGCGCGCAACAATATAATCCAACGTCAAATCAGTTTCGACGTGTTTCTTATGTAAACAAGTCAACTTTTCTTATGTAAATGTTCAGCTGCTGCTGTGCGCGGCAAAGTTTGCGAAAAAGAATTTTTTCAGTTATATTTTCTAGAAACCTCTCGAGAACTTGCAATCAGCAAACTTGCAATTTTCCATTTTACGCAACGAAAAGATCGCACAGTTCCGTGCAATTATATCTATGTATTACGTAGTCGGCGACCCGCGATGGGATAGTAATTTGAGGTAGTTTAATTTAATTTAAGAGCATTGTTGAATTAATAGCGCGCGCGATATATGTATTTATATTATTGTCGTAGCTAGATTTTTTTAGCTATATCGTAGACCGCGTCTGCGTGATTGCTTTATCGCGAAGATAAGTGCACCTAGATCGAAAGCAAACACATGGTTATGACAGTCGTAATTATGTAAATCGCGAGTGCCGAATGATTGATTGTCGCGAGACAACGTATTCGATTTTCGGATCGTAAATCACATTTCTTTTGTCTCGTTAAATTAATGGACGTCGCATTTCGCATATTATTAATTTATTGGCCTATAAATCAAATCACATTTCGTTCCTTGATCAATCGGTGTATTTTTACCTTGCGTTATTCGCAAACACATCGTATACAATGTGATCGATTAAGTTTGAAGGTCAGGATTCTACAATTACACACGTTATCTTTTAATTTTTCAGTAGATAAGGTAAGAGAATTTTCCTTTGCATAAAACTAATTATTATGTTTGTAAATTATTTCCTTCCATTTTTTTTCGCGCTCTCGTGCGCCGCCTTTGAAATAATTTCTTTTATGCGCACAAGTGACTTTTATTTATTTATTTGCGAAGCAAAAGTATTATTGAACCGCGTCCTCGACCTGTTATCAATACACCTCAATTATGCTTTAATCGGCAATTTATATTACCTCTAATGACCATTAATAAGTAATATGCGAATTCTTTCGTGGAATTTTTCCGCGAAGGTCTTCCGAGATAAATGGAGCTCTCGCGTAATCGTTCAAATATAGAATTGCCTATATAAATCTCGATCTGGATGACATTTATATTGACAGGGCCGCGCGCGTTTTACGTCGGAAAGACTCGTTTATCGTCCCGCAATATAAATTGCGGGCGCAAATTATTGTGAATATGACGTATTGCACTTTGACATTGCGACTATCGCGTAATAGTTATGATAACTGCCTGACTGTCGCAAAACTTTTTGCGCCGTAGACTTCCGCGTTAATGGATTTAGACAGCATCGTACACGTTTCTCGAATATTATATGTATAGTTGTGCGAATACGTCCACCTGCTGGGAAAGTATTCTCTATTGAGTCTTTTTACATATTACATATATTAGAGCGGCATGTAGAGGTCTTATAAAGAAACGAATGTCTGTGTGTATGTCTAAATGAATAAGTAAATAATCCGCCTTTAAGAGCCGGTATTAAGTTTTCTATATATGTACAATATCGAATAATATACAATTAAAGCGTAAATCGGAATTTAATGACCGAAGGAAAATGGAACGATCGAATTATTTGAGTCTTCTTTCCAAGTGTTTGAGAAATTTTTCGAAGGATTTGAAATCGAGAAACCGATATTGTTTCCAGGCGGTATATTTTGCCGATGACGATTATAACTTTCGTGCATCCAACTTTCGACTTTCTCATGCAGAAACTTGGCGCAAGTTCTCGGTTGCAGGTATATGTATGATGAAATATGGTGCTAATGAGCACTATGAATTATTAGAATAAAACAGGGGCGACACACACACATGCACACACATACCTACACCCACACATACGAATGTTGTAAAGTGGAACTTGTAGATTGTTCTGCGTAGCATTATCCCCACAACAACTCGCATTGTTATGCAAATGAACTGTAGTCGCGTTCTAAGCACCCCTACATATTCACTGGCCTTTTTAAATATATTATGCGATTGCATGAATGAAGAAGTGTCGGAATTAAATTTACTGGAAAATGAAGGCTAAAGGTGCCTGCGATGCGGTTTCTAATTTTCGGTGAAAAATCATATATGTATAGAGTCACGACACGAAATTCCTCCAATTTCTAAGATGTAAAATCTTTCGTGGACGAAGGATTTTTAATCAGGATCAATTGACGCAATCAGAGTTCCCGGTATTATTTTCGGTACTGTATTCTTCTCCCTAAAAGCCTATTCAAGGGAGCCCTTTATTACACACGTAAACAAGGGTTAATCATTCGACTGCTCTTTTTGACGAGCAGTTCCTGCGCGAACGTCATCTCTCGTGCCGTTTCTTCTCGCTCTTAATTCGTAAAAGTCACGATTCGCGATGCGAAAATTGAACGACATTATAATGGCGGAATCCGAATAATCATCGCAATTTCAAGAGCATCGATTTTCTTTTTCATTCGAGAATTGTCGCCCACGAGATCCTGTTATTGAGAAGGGTTAAAAGGGTCGTTATCGAGACAAAAAAAAAGTCATTGCGGCTTATCGGCATTGGTTGAGGAGCAGATTCCGACGAATCCGCCTTTTGACCTTATAAAAGCAATATCCGCTTTGGGAATTCGTTTCCCGACAAAAGGTCTTTCCGCGCTGAGACTCGTCCTAGAAACTCACACCTTTTACGCCGAGTCATAAAGAGGATCGTGTTGTTGGGTGTCCCATTTCTGCCGCGTTTATCCTGTTAATAGCGGATTTCTCGATCAATTTGGAGTCGATCTTTTTTCGGTAAATATCGTCTTTTACGGTTTTAAAATTTTATATACATATTTCTATAATCGAGATGCAAATTAAAATTTCTTTTAAGATACTGCAGATATGAGAGAAAATGTTTTTTTCCCCAAAAGACTACACATAGGTATATGTATATATGAACTTCGAAATTGTGTTATAATAAAAAATTAAGGAGATAATTCTTTCTGAAAAAGTAGAATAGAATCTTTCTGATTTTACATTTTTTATAAATTATATATTTTATTATAAATTATGAATTAAATTATATTCTGTTTCCTATTTATTTTTGCACGAGAGGAGTTATTCTTTTCCCGATTGCAGTATAATTTGGAACGTATAGTTAAGGGGATCGCGTTATGGCATCGTATTTATTTTTTTGAAGATTTCTTTTTTTTAAATATTATATATTTTATCGTTTCTATGCCTCGTTTGTCGCCGTTGTACAATTGTGTACTGTAACACGAATCACTTGACGCGAGCGTTCTCGACACTCGACGAACTACAATGAGCGCAAACTACCACTTTTCTGCATCGTCGAGCCGTAATTCGTTCAATAAACGCGGGCGCGAGCGATGTTCAGCCTTAACGCTTAACATTAGAATTACTAGGCGGAGGTGCAGCCGTCGTCTTTCCCATGAAATCACCTATTATCGCTTTAGCTGCGGTCCTTGATGATTAAACATTCATGTCCCAGGTGGACACATAATCCCGATACTCGTGGAATAGCTATTCGCTCGCCGAGCGAAAAGCGTCGCGTTTAAAGGGTGTCCGATTGTGGGATCGCGAATTTGTCTGTCGTTGGTGCAAAAAAAATCCGAAATGTGTATAAAAGATGAAACGGGTTCTGCATAAAAATATGCTACGCAAGAGAATAAAAAAATTCGTCGCGTCACGCTCGAATATATTTTTATTCACTGGAGAAAGTACGGACGCTTGTCATAAAAAAAGTGCTACGTAAGAGAATACAAATTTTTTTTACCCGAGCGTGACTAATTGTTCTGGTCGGAAAAAAAAATATATATATATATATTTTATATTATATATACATATATGTATGTATGCCTAATTGTCACCTTGTTTCCGGTAAAATACCGGCGCATCGTATCCGTTTCCGGTTAAGGTATATCCACGCCATTTCGCATCGCGCTTATTCACTTTCGCTTCTGTCTGATGAACGATCGCCGAATCGGTTTCGATCGGATTTAGAATTCTCTTTTCACTTCGTGATAACCTTTTCCCTTTATGCGACGATAAATGTTTAAAAATATCGCGCTTTACGGGGCGTGACGCGTGCGGATGGACGCCTCTTCGGGTAAATGTGCATCGTTTGCGAAACTGTGTCACGTGTAATATCAGCTGTATCGGTGCGACGATCGGGGAGACCCTGATCAGCGTTTAGTCGATTATGTCAGGAATAAACTTCGATTCTCGGGCGACGAGAAAAGAATCGAGCTATATATTAAATGCGAATTAAAAAAAAAATTTTTCATAAAACTTTTTTAAAACTTTTCGATCGATCGCTCTTCATGATCTGATAAGAGATTACACTAATGAGAATTGAATAACATGGATGATAATATACGACGGAATAGGATAACATTGCTAAGCGAGACTCTTGTTTCAAAGGCAGTTCCCTTGATATTCCCTTCCGCGAATTTGCATGCAATATTATATACAGTTCGATACTACTTCCACGCGATGAAGCAGCACGTGCCAAGATCAGCTTCTCGTTTCGCTAGCACTTCGTGAATGTTCGGGCGAAATGATTTATAGAATCTAAGGCGCGGATCTCAAGTTCTTCGATTAGGACAGCTCGACTTGTCTTTTCTGTAGGATGGTATTGGATCCCAAGGCCACCAGTTTGCATAACGATTACGGAAGCTTCGATCGACCGTTGGGCGCCGGGGAGGGCCACGAGAGGGACGAAGCGGCTGTTGATGGAAGTAGCAGCGGGATGGCTCAGTCCAGCGACGTTTATCAACGGCAACCGTTGTTGCCTGGCGCGCCGCTGTCCAAGAGCAAAGACAAGTGGTCCTCGGGGGTGGCTTCGGGCTCGGACTACTACGAGGACGATGAGGATGAGAAGGATATCGAGAGTCTCGGCAGGCATCCTGGTATACCAAACGGTTCCGGCAGCGGTATTGTCAAGATCGACATACCAGCACCCCTTCGCGAGGAGCCGCGCTTCCCCAAGGAAAAGTGGAAGACCTTTCTTGGTAAGAAGCGTTATATTTTTTATTTTATTTATTTATTTTATTTATTTATTTGTTTTTTATTTATTTTATTTATTTATTTTAAAATTTTATTTATTTTAATGACAATCCCTTCTCTAAGAAGGGAAAGAATTAGATGTATCTTTATTTAAAAAAAAAATATGAAGAATCTAGCAATATAATATCAACGCGAATGAAACTTCATTAAGACTGTGAATTTTCATTATAATCGTAGTTTAGGTAATTTTTTTCAAATTTTTTAGCAAGTTCTGTTTTTTAGAAACTTGAACCGATAAAGCGAATTAAATTCATATTATTTCTAATAAGAGGTATACCGGTTTTAATTACCGGTTTTTTTAAAATCTAATTAATTAATTTGTTTTTGCGTTATCTCTTTTAAGAAGTTATGAAGCGAAGACTTAAAAAGTCTTGAAAAATATTTATATTATTTGACAAAGTTATATTACTTATGAGAAGTCAATTGACTTTGTTTAGAAAATGATATCAAACTCTAGTTCTTTTTTTATATGGTTTGCTATTTATCTCTATGATGTAATTTTAATAAAAATCAAAACTGAAATTTTACTAAACACAAGGAAAAGAAAGATACATTTATACATAACTAATTAATGAAAAATAATTGCGGTGCAATATGTAAATATAAATCTCGGTGATTTATATTGCAATTTTGATATTAGATACACGGAGAGAATGTTCTCTTAGAATTTACCTTGAAAAAGAATTTTATATAAGAGTTTTTCTAATTAATATATTTACCACAATAAAAAAACATTAATATGTACATAGTAAAATTAATTGAATATATTTTATATGTTATCATGGTAGATATTAATATTTTTTATTATGGTAAAAATATTAATCAGAGAAACTCTTAAAATTCTCCCAGTATTATATTATCTCCCGATTACCATGATTTAAATTTTAAGAGAAAATTCTCTCTGTATAGGAATGTATTTCTCTCTCGGTCTCTAATTAATAGCGAATTCGGTTGGATGCACTACTGCGCACTGAGTGCATATAAAGCACACAATTTTAAAATGACATAAGTAATTAAAAAAGTAAAATAATTAATAATAAGATCTATTATTATCATTATTCATATATCAACAAAAATAATAATGGCTCTTACTATTAATTATTTTCGAGATTATTTTCCTTTTTTAATTACTTATGTCATTGAAAACTTGTGTGTGGTTATATGCACTCATTGTCAGTGCATACTAGTGCATCTAATCGAATTCGCTATAAGAGAGTGTTTCTGTCTCGAAATACGGTCTAATTTATTTGACAAAAGCGCGGTTCTCTGAAACAAATTATCTCTATATGCGGTCGATTCGCTTATCGATTTCCATGGTTTTACATGTATAACCGCGACTGGATTTTTCTCATTGTCAGTAGTTTAAGCAATAAGTAGAGAATTCTCGCGGAGTTATCTAAGACTTGCCGGCTAATTCCGGCGATCTCAGAGTGCCTCTCCAGGTTCGCCTTTCTGTGACGTTCGCTCGTTACGGAGGGATTCATCGAGATCGAGGTCGTTAGATGGCCTGGTATATTCGCTCACAGTTATAATATAACCAGGCACTCTCGCGCAGGTTGATCTCGTACGAGAACCTCCCATCGATCGATCCCCTCTTTTCCGAGAGAGCCCGCACGGGTTTATCTCGGCGGCTCTTTTTGCATCAGAGTTAATCGAAACGAGCAGTTGGACGCATGCGAAATGCACAAAACGGATTTCACGAGTACCGTTACCGAGAATCTGTTACGACCACGGATCGTCGTTGCATGACAGAGTCAATTAATACCGCAGTTATTCTCAAAGATATGCTGAAAAGGGAAGAAAAGTAGCGTACGAAAGAAAATATTGTAGCATGTTTGTTTATATTAAAATAGAGAAAGAAAGCACGCTAAAAGATATCCATTGTGAGATAACTTTCGAAATTCTTTAAATAAAGATAAAATAAAATATAAATATAAATCAAATAAATGATAATGAGATGGTTTCAAATTTACCCAGATAAAAGATGAAATTAAAATAAATAAAAGCGTTTTTTTTTATTTGAATAAAACAATTTAGGATATGAAAAAAATTATACAATACATTTATAAATAAAAACAAGAATTTTTTAAATAAATAATTTGACAGATGATTTTATGTCTATATCGATGTAGACTTCCTAAACTTTGTATTAAATTAATTTGAAGACAATCCCATCTTTTATTTAAGGTGGAGATAATTCAAAATTTTGATAATGGAAAATTTTGATAAATAATAATTTACTTTGATATCTAAATAAAGATGAAATGAGGCTATTTTCATCTAGATGATGATATGATTATATACTTGATATATTATATAAATAATAATTTACTTTGATATCTGAATAAAGATGAAATGAGGCAATTTTCATTCAGATGATGATATAATTATATACTTTTATCTAGGCAGAAAACACTGATCAGTCATTGTTCTTTCAGCATTTCTCTTTATGGTCGTCAACTTTATACTGACGACGGCTTCCCTCGCGATGGTGCACGAGCGTGTCCCAGACAGAAATGCGTATGGTCCGCTTCCCGACGTAGTGTTGGACAACGTTGTCGCGCAGGATTGGGCGCTCAATGTCTCAGAAGTCCTGATCATGATCATGTCCAACTGCGCCATGGTTTTTATTATTTTCCATAAGCATAGGTACGTAAGAACGCGACGTAGAAGATGCATGAATGAATATGTTAACAAAGACTAAGGTTTTGCTGACAAATAAAATATTGATTTCTGCAGATTTATAGTAGTTAGACGAGTATTTCTCTTGATGGGGTTGCTCTACATGATGAGAAGTGTCACGATGTACGTGACGGTCCTACCGATCGCCAGTAAGACTTACTACTGCAGTCCGAAGGCGAACAACACCAGTCCGCTACTTGTGACGAAGAGGGTCCTGCAGCTCATTTCAGGCTTCGGCTTGTCTATCAACGGCAAGCACACTTACTGCGGGGATTACATTTACAGCGGACACACGGTCGTACTCGTGCTCAGTTATCTAATCATTAAGGAATGTACGTATTTTCCTCTTTGTTGAGAAAGGATAAAAACACGAAGGCACGACGGTAAAAATTGACGACTATAACGCACTTCAGATTCTCCAAAGAGATGTCAACCGATCCATTGGGGAGCGGGTTTGGCGGTGCTCGTCGGGGTAATTATGGTTTTGGTAGCTCACGGCCACTACACCGTGGATGTACTTATAGCGTATTATGTTACTACACGCTTGTGGTATATTTATCACACGCTGGCCAACAACCCAAATCTTAAGGTACGTTCTACTTTGGTGTCCGCACGAAAGTTCTCTACGATAAAAGTGTCTTTTTTCAAGATTTGATAATCGATACAATTCCAGTAGCAATTAATCTAATAATTAATATTGATTATATCACTATATTATAAATATGAATATAATATTTATTGTATAACATTGATAAACTTTAATTTTAATTAATTTGTCATATGCAATATAATAATTTATAAACGCGTGTTTGTATTTTGATATTACTGTTGCGTATAAGAACAATGAAACATTTGCAGCAATATGGACCAAACAACTTTTTGGCCCGGCTCTGGTGGTTCCATATCTTCAAGTATTTCGAGAAGAATGTAGGCGGCACGGTGCCACGACAATATGATTGGCCTCTACCCTGGCCTCGACGGTTTCTTGCCAAGCACCCTAACCGAGATAGTTAATACTTGTCTTGACTTCATGATAGAGGCTGTTAAAAACAAAAAAGTTACTTTCGTTGTATATATTATATACATACATACATATATATATACATACACACACACAATCTGCATATACACATTTAGGCTTGTTAAAACGTTGAGGTAAAAATATGGACTAGAGAAAGATATATATATATATGGGACAAATGATCGTTCCTTAAGAGCGACCATACGTTTGTTGAAGCATGTGATGCTTTATGTCGTTCACTTCTTTGTAAAACCAATCGTGACCTCTCGGACACAATACTCTCCCTCTTTTTTACTCATTCATTCACTCTCACTTTCACTCTTACTCTCACTATCACTATCACGTAAAGCCATCGTCCAATCGGCCCGAATTTATTTTTCGCTTGATTTTTATACGATTTATATACGATATAAAGAGTAGATAGAGAACGACGGAATCGAGTTTATGATAATAGTTTCTTATCAGATTCGGATGGAGGAAGATTTTCAAGACTTTAATACACACAAATTGACGTGTATTTAATGAAATGCGCGTTTGTATTTTCAAATAGCCGCACAACAAATCGAAAGTAAAATACGTTAAATAAGTAAACCTAGGACAAACATACATGTTTGTAGAAAAACTCGAAACTAGTAAGAGATATTTGTATAAGAAGTATTTGTAATATCTAGCGAATCATTATATAGTATATAAATAAACAGGAAGGCGAAATCTAAATTCTTCCTTCATACGAATCTTTCTCCACATTCTAACATCTCGACTTCCAATATCTAGACGTCGTTGGCTTTGATTTTGCATTCGCGGCACGAATTATTCCAGTGAAAAACGATCTCGCAGACAAATTTGCCAAAAGTACCCAACGCGGGTGACGTATGCATATTCTCATTACCGTTTCACTTTTATCGATTATCCTCGAAATTGTTTTCTTTGTACTATTCGTGTCGGAGAAAAGTATCCCAGTACTAGAAGCAATTGTACAATTTCGTGGGACCAAAACAGAAGCGTTCAATAGTAAAAATGTTAGTTTATATAGCACAAAATAAAATAAAAGCATATCGAGTTGCGAGGTGGCATGATCTCCATTATTGCAATTAATTATCTTATTGGCGTTGACAACAATTTTTAAATTAATATCTCTTGAGGATGTCCAGATTAGATTATGTGATATATTACCGGATGGAATTTGAACCTGCCATATATATGTACAATATACACTATATATAAATATACACTATATATAAATATATATATATATATATATATATATATATATATATATATATATATATATATATATAATATATTTATATAACTTATATAATATATTTATATATTTACATTTATATGCCTGCATATGTATATAATTATTGTCGATTCAAACATAGGTGCCACGGATTTGGGTAGGTGTATTCATAAAAACTTCTGATGACATTTTCTCTTAGGCAATCTTCCATAGTAATTCTTGAATAACAGGACACATCTCAAGTTGGATTTAATCGATGTCATGCAAAAGTATAAAAAGTATATAAAGAAAAAATAAATAAAAGGAAGAAAGTACCGAGAGAAGAACATGCCGCATTCACGTTTTCACGGAATAAAATCGTACGCTTGTGCATATACACCGAATGTTGTCACACATATATATACATACATACATATACATATGCGGTGAAGTGATGTAACACGCAAATTGTGCGAAATCGGGCAATCTTACATGCAGAGGCATTGATGTACACGATCGATCTTTCGTACACGATTCACTCTTCCTTCGTTCTTCTCGCGTTCTCATTGTTTCCACGCGATATTCCTTACGCCTCTTGCCCCGCTCTTTCTCTTGTATGAGGAAAGTGAGCGACATTTGTTTACTATAATTTCGTGTAAGAATGTTTGCAATTTTTTGAACGAGTGGAAAGATGCGCGAAGATGTTGTGAATCTCACTTAATAATGTACACGTAGGTACAAAGCGATAACGAGTTGTGTGGCCGTTCGTTTTTTCTAGCGTCCAATGAAAGAAATATGTGCGTGCGTGTGTATGCGTCTGTGTGCGTGCGCGTGTATTTTAAATGTGCTAAGCAATGGTTTAATCATAATTTAAATTAAGAACACATCTGTTATTCTGTTCGCGCATTGTTAAATTTTTATCGAGTACATGGAACGCACTCTTGCAACTCATCATCATTGTTCGTTAAATTTTCCTTGTATATAATTTTGGAAAAAATAATAAAAATTCTTGACGGCGCGGTTTTTTCTGCCGAGGCTTACAAGCAAGTCTATATTTTTACAAGTATAAAAGATGCGTTAAAGTTATATACAGAATTAATTCGTAATTATCTTTTAATTACTTCCCGACTACGGTTGAACGCGTTCGATGATTTTGTGCGAAAAATTAGTAAAATGGTGAAAGAATGATAAGAGAAAGGAATTGCGATAACACTATTTGGTAGAATATATTAATGTTAACTCTTATCTTTTCCGTCTGTGATGATAAATGAAACAAAAGGAAGAGAATAAGAGATCCTGTGATCTCGGGGTCTTAATATAATATAATAGCTCGACCGCGGATCCGCAATTTCGAGTGTTTGCGTGTCTCTTACGACCGCACCTGATGTTTATTCTTAACATTGACATCATAGATGCGTGTAACTGTTGAACATATATTTTAATAAAAAAAAAATCAATGTGGTTCTCTCTCGTGGTAAGGCTCTTTAGCTGAAGCATTCGTGCAGCAACAGCAGCAGTTCCGACGCGAAACAGATAATGCCGATAATTTAAGGATATATTTTTGAAATGTGTGCATATAATGTACATATATAGATGCACTGGTGTCGACTCGCACACACGCGTGTAATAGAAACGATTGCGCGTTAATCACGAATGGATACTTCAAGCGAATACGAAAAAAAAAACATACACGTTTAAATATTATAGATATATATTATATATATATAATATATTTTACACAGATGAATATGTGTTGTTGCGCATTTATCTATGTAAATAGATAGATGTACACGCGTGAAATGCATATTCGCATTGTGCTAATTATCGCTCGTTTTTCGGGGCGAATTTACGTTTCACGCGCGGCGAAAAAAACCTCGATGTGTAGAGCTTAGATTGGCCCAACGTTTACGAGGAGAATAATATTTTAGATTTGTCGAATGGGATAAAAAAAAAACGAAAGAAAAAGTGCGAGCCAAAGGATATATTCTCGAAAATTGATATGTGTATATACGTATACGGATATATAGTATATTATAAAAAATGATATATTTAAACGCACACATGATAGGGGAAGGCTTCTGTTAACGGAAGGGTCTCTCGTTGATGTTTAGTATATAAGACATAAGAAATAACTATATATACACATATATATGATATATATGCATATATATACATATATATTACATATATAGTATATATATTGTATATATAGTAGAGTTCATTATATTACAGCGTGTTTATATGTATATATATATAGACATACATATATATATATATCTATATTTTTACGTGTAGATATTTTTTTGTAACTTGTTACAATAATCTAATTAGATCAGTTAAGTATATGCATATATTAATATACATAAAGAAAGATATATGCGTTGTAAATAAAAGATAATAGCTTTTATCATTGCGTGGAAGCTAATCAAAAAAAATTTTGTTACCGTTACAATGACAGATTACAGCATTTTTCGATTAATCGTGGACTACAGTTGCCGATTCCACGTGTATCAAACTTGTCAAGGAAATCGATTAAAACTGCAAAATTTGATTTCCGTTACACTGTACATAACTCTTTATGATTACTCTATGATTACGGTTAAGGAGGACATTGATATTATTACAATAAAGAGTAGATTGTATTCGGCTTTACTTTATACCTACTTGTGTATTTATAATATTTATTACGTTTTTCATATGTTGATGTAATAAAGTTTTAAGTATACTTTACATTCTGATCGCTCATTTATATATATTATAATCTCCTTATTTTTAAGAACAAACGTACAAATTTCTTTTGCGTCTCGAATATGTCAATAACTCTTTGAAATATATCATATGTGCGATTATAAAAATATTTTTTTCTCTCCTATAGCATTTTCCCCGAATAAAAGGGACACAGGATAAGATAGGCTAAAGGATCCATAGATATCTTTTGTTTTGAGCTGTCAAATTAACATTTTTTGACAACTGTACCTTCTCTTCTGCACAAATTTCGATCATTTTTATAAAAAAATTTACAAGTGAAGCAATCTCACGTAACATAAATCTCTTGCAAACTAACTTCTCTACTTTTACAAGAAAAAATATGTGTGTTCGAATTAGTTGAAATAAAATGTATGAAGAGCACGAGAGATATTAAGAGAGATCCAATCTTGCAGATCAAAGGCAATGGAGAACGTCGGCGAAGGTGACGTAGGTCGTACCGAAGGAAAAGGGAGGATCTCGCCTCGTCACGATTTCGGGAAACGATGGCATCGCTTTCGGGTTCTCACGCCAGATTCGTTCATCCTTCGAGGTTTTCGTGCGATGAGCGATCCTTGGTTCAAGTACAGAAGTCGCGGACGACAAGCGGCACCGTGTTCGGTAGTGGCTGTCGCTTACGGACGTCTATTCGAGCCGAAGGAATGGACGAGGGATCACGTGGACCAAGTGCTGGAACACGGTGACAGACTGTTTCGCGCGAGCGCCCTGAAGACGCGGCTGAAGGACGACGAGTACCTGAGGACCGACTGGGTGCACAACGAGTTCTACGTCGGTCTCTGCAAGATTCTGGTCGGCATCGAGGACAGCGGAATCCACGGCAATCTCCTGAGCGGATCAATCGGTTGCTCCGATCTCGCCCAGGGTCTGCACAAGTTTCTACGAGACAACGATTCGGGAGTGATCACCGCCCAGGGTACCTCCGTCGCGGTCTGGCGACAATTTCCCGGTGCTAAAAGTTTCCTGTATTACGACCCAGTTTCCTGCGACGAGACCGGTCTGCGTCGTCCTGATGGTACGGCTTGCCTGATGAGATTTAAATGCGTGAATGATCTGACGGATCACCTGCTGAAGAATCTGGATCAGCGCTACGACTCTCGATACTGCATCGACAAGGTCACCGTGCTACACGCCAAGGAAGTAAGGATAGCAGATAATTTATTTTTTTCTGAGGCTGATATATCGACTATTTTAAAGCTTTCGAATGTCGTTTTAATAACAGATTTTCTGGTATATTTGGAGATGATTTTTTTTAATGTCGAGAGATCGAGCATCACTTTTCATTAAAAAGAGAGCAAGCTTATATAAAACTTCGTTCTTTAATTAATTTTAAGAATGCATTTTAGTAAAATTTTAATTTGAAGCTTGCAAAGATATATAGGATGAAAAAATAATAACATTTTCACTAAGAAGGAATTAACTCTAAGTTGATCAGAGAATCTATATATTTAAAGAAACTTTTAAAAAATATTAAAAAATTCTGAAACACATCCTATATAAGAATTTTTTGTAAGAATAAAAAAAATTAGACAAAGAAAGTTTGAATAAAATGGAGAAAAAACACAGATCGGTCGCGGTTTCATCGATCGTCTACCCGAAAATCTGCCGATGATCCGGAAGAGCGTATTGCGATCTATCGATCCGTCAAATGAGCACAAGACGGACTGCACGAAACCGGTGCCCAAGGACGACAGGTCGCGCGCACTCGCGAGGATACGCAAGGAGCCGCTGTCAATCGTCATCTCGAATTACAGCATCGATCGTCACTTCGCCGCGGAGCCGCTGGTCAGCCGGAATCACTTCGACACCGGCTATTCCTACGACGACATACGCGTCAACGTGCCGTCCACGTTCATAGAGTTGCCCGGCAAAACGGCGATTCTTCATGGTTCGACTCACGAGGGCAGCGAGATCTACGAAGGTAAGGGCAGCCAGAACGTGGCCAATTGCGTGGCGGCTATCGCCACGAAGAAGGTGCACCCGACGAAGACATGGACGAGTTCGAAGCTGGATGAGATTTTGACGCTCGGTGATTCGCTTTACGCTAGCGTCAAGGTCAACAAACCGACTATAAAGACGATGACGGCTGCGGAATTGAATGACGCGAGGCTCCAAGTGAATAACCGTAGATTGGTGGTAGACGTGGACCTGATCACTGTGATCGGCACGCTGAATTCTAAGGTGCCATCGGTGTTAAATCTGAAGCAGGGGCTGGAAGAATTTTTTCTGGTGAATGAAGAGGGCGTAATCGAGACGACATCAATGGCGGTGGCGATCTGGAGCCAGGACGACTGTTACTATCTATTCGATCCTCAAGCCTGCAATAACGTCGGCGTCAGAATCGCGAAGAACGAGAAGGACGTAGGAAGTTGTTGCGTGATTCGACTTCCCAACATCAACTCATTGACTGCGCTGATCTTGAAGAACGTCGACCCGGCGAGGAAAAACGACCGATTCACGATCAGACACGTCGCGATCGCGGACGATTTGGCTGGCACTCGACCTTGGAATGAATTTCAGCCCGGGATGGCGGGGAAGACGTGGGTGTTGCGCGGCGAAATTTCGAACATGGACGAGTTGTTCGAGGTGGAGAACCAGGGTCTTCAGGGTCTTGCCATACCGGTGGTGGCTCTGGTGAACGCGTGGGAGACGCCACCAGAGAAGTGGACCAGCGAGACTGTCGACGAAGCAATCAGGGATGGCGATGCTTATTATGACTGGTGCAAGCCCGCTGAAATAGAAGAGGAGGTCGAAAGGCCGCTTCTGGTACACGATTTGAAGAGGAACTTGTACGTCAAAAATCGAAAAGTCACCATCGACGTGGAAGAGGCGGCGGTCGTCGGCGATCTATTGGCATCGGATGATTCTGAGCTGCTCAATTTGGAGAAAGGACTGCGTCAGTTCTTCCAGAACAAACAGTACGGAATAGTCGAAACGGGAAGACTCTCGGTGGCGGTGTGGAAAGTCGAGGAAGACGTGAAAGACGAGGATAAGAAAACGTTCTACTATTACTTCGATCCGAATCCTCGGGATCACCTGGGTCAATCGTCGGTGGCAGAAGACGTAGAGAATTCTGCTTGCGTGGTCCGTATATTGGATCTTTCGACATTGGCGAACCTCATCAAGAAAAACGCTGGGCAGGATTTAAAAAATACCGATTTCACAATACACGAGCTGAAGAACGTATCTATCGGCACGATAATGACGGACGAGGAGATCGAGGTGGATAAACAAACACCAATCAAGCCGGATCTGAACAATTACTCCAATTTAGGGGACACCGGCGCTCTGTTGTTAGGCACCATCGAGCAGGGAAACAAGATGGCCTTCAGGCAGCAAACAAGGGACAAGCAGCAGGCCGCCAATTCTCTGACGACCTTGGCTATGACTAAGCTTTACAATCCTCATCTGTGGTATCCCGAGCTCGTGGACGACATCCTGAGGATTGGTGACAAACTCACCAGCGAGAGTCTAATAAATCTGCCCGAAGCGGAAACTGAAGAGGAATCGCCTAGGAATTATCTTCTCCCCTCGGAGATTATGGAAGACTTCACTATAGGTGTCAATCGAATATCGATCGGTCTCGAAGAGCAGTCTATCGTCGGAAAAACGACGGACGTGACCGGGCTGCTGCAGCAGTTCTTCGAGGACAATACGATGGGAGTGTTTCGTCAGGGTAACATCATGATGCCGATCTGGAAAGAGGGCGAGGTGTTCTTTACGATGGACCCTAGAGGCAGAAACGCTCGCGGCGAACCCGGGAACAAGGATGCAGCCGCGGCGACGATGTGGTTCACCGACATCCCCTCGTTGGCTGACGTTCTTCGGCAGGTCGCGCAACAGGACGACGATTTCGTCATCGACTCCGTCACGCTCGAAAACGCGTACGAAACGCGAGTGGCCGAGGCACGACGGGTGAAAAAGACCACCTCCGGAGAGGATCTGTGGCACCACTTTCCCAAACTCGCCGACGGTGTCTGGAGCATCAACGGTAACGTCGCCATGACGGATGAAAGATTCGACGAGGAAAATCGTGGCAAACAGAGCGCAGCTATTGCTACGATAGCCGTCGTCTTCTCCAAGGTACCCTTCTATCATGAGTGTCCGGATTTTTTTTTCAGAAGGGGGCATAATTAATTTTTTGTTCTTTCTTCATTTTTTTCTTTGTTATTTTCATTTTTTTTTAAATATTAAATATGCATAAATTCTTAATTTTTTACTGATTCCAACGGCAGATGCCTCCTGCGGACGTCCATGCTTTCTATACTTACTTAATCTCATTTTCTCAAACTTTCGGAAATTGTGATCTGCTAAAATTTCTAAAGTTAAATCAAACAAAAATTATACGAAATGATTGACAATTTAACAGAGGAAGAGAACTCGTTTCCTGTAATTTTTTTATATTGAATATTATTTTATCAAATTGCTTTATTATCCAACATCAAAAGAAATAATTGCTCCTTGGAAAAAAGTCATCTTTTATAAAAAAATAAATTTTTTACAATATTAATGTATAATTAATAAGGAATCGATTGAAGAAGAAATAAGATTATGCAAAAACATGTATGTGAAAACTAAATTAAGGTCTATCAGCCGAAATACTGGACGCCGTCCATCCTTGACGAAGTTATCGTTACCGGGGACAAACTGCACTCGAAATGCGTCGAGCGACTGGGTGCGGGTTCGATACCCCTGGTGAACGAGATTATCAGCGAATTCTTCCTATCCAATCGGCGCATTGCTCTAACAATCAAGGATTGCGTTGAAGCGGGTAATCTTGTCGGGAAATCGCTCAAGATTCAGGATCTGCGAACCGGTATCGACAACTTCTTCGACAAGTACAACGCCGGCGCGTTGATCACGCGGGGAAATCGAAATATCGCCATGTGGAAGATGGAGAACGCGTACTATGTCCTGATACCCGACTGGTCCACTAATAAGAACGCGATGACGGTACCACGAATATTCAGGTTCAGAGACGCCGGTCTTCTCGTGGAGTATCTTCTGCGTCATCTGGGGACGACGGACGACTATCGAATCACCGCGATCGACGTGCTGGATCAGGACAAACCGTGGAGATTCGATCCTAGTCCGGCGATTCGACCGGCGAATCTGCCGCCTTTGAACGCTTATAAAAAGTTGCAAGGCGAAGCCCGGGCGATTCTTCACGGCAGCTACCATCAGGGCGACGAGATCTTCCCCGAAATGCTGCGCAATCGACAGACGGCGGCGAATTGCGTCGTCGCCCTTGGCATGTCGATCGTGAAGAGCCCGGTGACCTGGACGAAGAAAACCATGGACGAGATCCTGGCGATCGGCAGCGCAGTTCATCGGGAGACGAGGAAAGCGAGACCGACCAAGTCGAGGTTGAAACCGAAGGATATCATCAGAGTATTCTATGTTGGTGGGTTTTTCTCGTGGTCATTATTGAAAATAATCGATTGGTAGTTCAATAGCATTTTGGTGTATTTATTTTTGATACAAGTTGACGTACAATTTTATTCTTATAATATTTCTCCGAAGGTGTCAACGTGCTGACTGCTGACATTGAGTCTGATACTGTGAGCGGTCTGGTGACAGCTGCGGCTCTCGATGCGAAAGAGGAAAAGAAGAAACCAGAAGAGACGGAAAAGATCAATAAAGACAAGAACGCAATTCAACCTTCATCTCCGACTTTACTTGAAGGTCTACGAAAATTCTTCCAGGACAACCGCGCCGGCATTCTGATGATCGATCGAAATATGCTCGCTATTTGGAAGGATTTAGGTGTCTACTTCATGTACGATCCTAGAGCAAAAAGCGAGCAGGGTCTGCCAGATCCTCGTGGAACCTCGTGCACGATGTGGTTTGCCTGCATGGAACCCTTGTACGACGCAATTTTCGCAAGCATCGATGAACGTGACAGATACGAACCTTTTGAGATCTGTCGCGTGATTATGAAGACTGCCGTGATAGAGCCCTTGCCGTGTCCAGCTGGTTTCCGGCTTCACCTGGACCGTAGTTCACCACTCACGATCACGTCCGCGAAGAAGATCGCTACATTGGACGTAGAACCGCTCAGCCAGTACGTCATCGTGGAGGAACACCTTGATATTCTGCGGGGCAAGCTGCACATGTGTCATCGCGCTTTCGACCTGAGAAACAGGGGTCACCAGAGCACCGCGATCGCAGCGGTCGCGATCGTAGTCGGACTGCTGCACGTGCCGTCCACGTGGACGCCCGAGCTGATCGATGCCGTTCTCAGACACGGTGATTCGTTATACTCGGACAGCGCTCGTCGTGCTCGCGTGAACGCCAGGAATCTCTCGCCCAGCGAGCTGCTCAACGTGTTCATCGTGGGCGATCTCCGGACCACTGTTCACGTTCACAATCATACCTTCGCCGGGATACTCCACGTCTTCGACCTGTCCGAAGCGTTAACTACATTTTTCCGCACTAATTGCGCCGGGATACTGCACACGACCAATTTAGCAGTAGCCGTGATGCAGCACTACGGGAAATTTTACATGTTCGATCCGTGCGCGAGAAACGATCGGGGCAAACCCGCCTACGACGGGGCCGCCTGTTTGTTCAGGTGCAGCAATGTTGCGAAAATAGCCGAAATCTTCGTGGCAAACTGCAATCTCAAACGGCCCAACGTGTACACGTTGAACGCGATCAATGTGTTGCGTTTGCATTTCTTCTCGAATGCGCGGGACGTTTGTCCACCCAAGTGCGAACAATGACGAGGTCTTAGATTTTTATACGTGGTAGACGCAACACGAAAGAGTTCCTCAATATGCGTGAAATTTGCTGAAAGAAAATATTCCTTATAATCCTGTAATAAAGTATCTCCTAGAATACTCTGTAGTCTGAAAGATGAATGAATGGGAAAGAATTAAGTACACACAGCCGAACAACGTTCTCAAAGTGCTAATTTTATTTATAGGTTTTCTTTATGACACAAATCACTTTTAGCATCTACATGAGTAGGAGTACAGGCTATACGAGAATGAATTTGATACAGATCACTTATTAGTGTAAATACAATGTTCCTTTTTTTCTTCTCAATTACACGCTATCAACCTAGATACTTAGAAAACACTGTACAACGCAGTTGAGAACTGTCGATTGATACTTTACAATATAGTACAACCACTCTTCTGAAGCGAGACACGAGCACCGAATCGGGGACGGGTCGGCTCGAGGAGACTAATCGTCCTCTCGTCGCCGTCGCCGTGGAAAAGGAGTGTCGTCTCCTACGACTTGCGGACTTCGCGAGCGAATCTCGATACTATCTCCTCTCGAGCGGACTGTAGGCCGTATCGAGCGAGTTTGCCCGCCGAGGATCATCTCTACTCTGCATCCCGGAGATATGTCTCTCTCCTTCTTTCTCCCTAATACGCGTCCTCAAAGACGCAAAGACACTTTCGCGTCTCTGAATAGTCCGCTGTCGAAACCTAACGCGACGTAGTCTCGTTTCTAGCAAAAGTGAAATGGGAGGTAGCGAGACGCGAGCGAGAGTACTTTTCCTCGAGGGATATCTTCGCGAATTTTCATCTCTGAAGTTTGTCCGTCGAGGAGACTGCTCGCGTCGCTCTCCTCACCGTATCGCATACAAGCACGCATACAATATTCAAACATCGCACGACTTTGCGAGTCTTGTTTTCTCGTAATAGTTTTCTCGTCTGTCAGTTCAACCAGTAATGATTGATAAGTCTCCGTCCGCCTCCTTTTCTCTCGCACTGGTCTCTTGTGAGACGTCGCTGGTCGTCCTTGCCCCATACTTGTTCGATGAGTAAGCAGGTAGATAGATAGGGATAGGAAAAAGTTGTGGATGATAAGTAATTAGCTACTTCGACTTTTCGATCGAACGTTCTTGTACTTGTAAGAATCCACGTTACTCCTTCGTTAAATTCTAGGAGTTTCGTATACTGTAGGTGAATTCGTTTTCTCGCTTTATTTCTGATTCGATAATGTTCGATGAGGAAGGTTCAATGAAAATGAGATGCGTTACATTCGAAAGAAGATTAAATGCCGCTTTCAGTCGTGTGTAACAAGTTCGATCGACAAACGAAGAAGCGAAAAAGTTAGGGAAAGGAGAGATGGCTGAAACGAGAAGAGGACGAACGAAAAGGACGGAGGGAGCGAGGAAGGGCAAATTCGCGTCGATGTCGCTTGACGCTTCGCAACTGACAGAACAAGGTCGAATGGATTGTAATGTAAAAAAAGAGAAAAACGATATGCGTATTATTATTAATATTGGCATAATGTTGTTATGGCACGTTTAGTTTTGCTGCTATACTCAGCGACGCGTTTTTACAGCGTGCGATTCAGTCGGATGAAAAAAAAGGAAAGAAGGAAGAAAAGGGAGGCGAAGAAAGAACACATTGCGGAAGGGAAAGAAGAGGAAAAAGAAAACATATTCGTTTCCGTCTCGCGACGTGCAAACGCGCGCGATTTCGACACTCTGTCGTTGGCACCTTCATTGCACTTTCCCATGCGTCGCAACAAATGCACCTTATAAAACATATTTTTCTTTCTTTATATACAAGAGAGAACTATGCTCCCCTTGAAAACGAACGCTCGCAGAAGAACTGTTGTAAAGAACCCATTACGTTGTGCTTTTCCTCTTTTGACCTTTTATAATATGATAAAGGAAGATTAAAATTGCACCGAAATATGTGTGTGTGTATATATATATCGCACAACAAAACAGAACCAATCTCTAAACAATGTGTGTTTGCGATTATATGTACTCGACGTGTTTGAAATTGTGCGATTCAAGATTCTTGAAAATATTATCGCAAAAAGCAACTCTGCTGCAAAAATATTTAAAAAGGCTTCTTACGTTTTTTCTTGTATAAAATAAAATATCGAATTTACAGTGATTAGACATCAAATATTGAATTTATCAAATATAAATTAAAAAAGTTTAAAAACTAGCAAGAGAAGTCTCAATATTAAAACGAGCGAGAATAAAATAGATAATCTTTTCTCGCACAATTAACGCACCTCTGTTTTATTCGAAATGTTCGCTGCCGCGTTAAAACTTTTTTAGAACGATAACTCGCATCTTGAGGTATTTGTTCACTTCTGTCCATTGTCAGAGAACTTTTTCGTTCATATTTGCACACTACACCGCAGTAAACAAGATGTCTAATAAAAGGTATATGAAAAAAACCGTGGAAATAATCATCGATAAAATATAACATTATTTTGCGCAACGACAAAAATACGCATTATTCTAATATTCGGAATCGCAAATGTGAAATAAAAATTAAAAAAAAAAAAAAAAAATAAATAAAAACATTCGAATAAAATTAAAATTCTGTTTTACAGAAGAAAATATAATTATATAATTTTTTTAATCCAATAATTGTCAAAAGATGCGCGTGATTGTTCCAATAAAAAATATTTTTTTTTAAAACAATTTGAAAGAGATACATATTTCTCTACAAATTGATATTAATTTTCGAATCGGACGAATTTTATAATCGTATACGTCGCTATTATGTCATGTTAATAGATAAGAGTGATCGGTAAAGGAGAAGCAGGAATTATTCGTTTGAAGAAAGAAACAGGAATATAAAGAAGAAACAAATGCGTACGAGATAATCATAGGTTTTCAAAGCACCTTATTTTTTGAATACTGATTGCGAACGACTCAAAAAGTTGTCTCGATTTTTGAACAAAAACTTGTATCAGTTTTTCGACTCTTTGTCTTCTCTCTTTCTTTTCCTATATATTTTTTTTATTTATCGCGGTTATTGTCTTTGTTCAGTCGAAAGTTTGTCGCACAAATTTATCGATTGACGACTAAAATCACGAGCGATAAATTAAATCGAATTGTAAAAGCAATGACAGAGCATATTAGAGATAGTTTTATTTTATACGTATTAATAATATTAATATTAACAATAATAAGTTTTATTATTAATATTAATATTAGTACGTATAAATATGATAGTATTGTTATATTTCGTGAAAAAAACGCAAAAATATGATATAAAAACCATGTCACTGCATCATTTCCAATAAACCATTATAATGAAGAAGAGAAAAGAACGCGTATAAAAAAATGAAGAGTAAAAAATATTCGAGTAGAGTGAGCAGGGATTCGGATTATTAAGGATATCTTACACGCTAATCAACCGCACTGTATAGACTTTTAAAAAAATAACAAATTACATATACATAGAGAATAGATATTTCGATACCTATGTGTGAGAGATGAGGTCGAATAAACAAATGACAATAAAACGCATCGCGCACGCGTCGACTTACATTCTGTTTTTTTTCTTTCATTCTTTTTTCACGGCGCTCTCTCTCAACTCTTCCGTCTTACGCTCTTAGCTACTTGTTCGCGATATAATTACTTTTCTAGAGTATAGTAGCTGGCACAGGAACATGACCTCTCAGTCATTGGCATCACAACGTAACAAGGACTACAAGCTGCGTCACGTGCATCTCCAACGAGTCTGTTCTTTCAGTCATATTATTTATTATCTGGACATGCACTTTTTTTCTTTCCTAACTTCGTACGCACGCACGCATACATATTCTCTCACGCTTACGCATCTCGCTCACATATCTTTCTCTTTACCGAGCGGGTGACTACAGCCAAAAACTTGGTCCTGAGTATTTTTGCATCGTATTTGTTTTTATTTCGTTTGTTACACATGTATATAATGTCTTGATCGGGAATAAGTTCCCGAATTTGTATGTGGGACACTGGATGACCTATACTTCGGCGAATGCATAAGAGCGAGGCTGTGCCAGGAGAAAACAACCGAAGGCAACACCATCATCACAATGACGAGGCGGCGATCGACGACTCCTTGTGGCCGGATCTGGAGCATAACAAACCCCGCAGATCGCGTTCGATCCCCACGAGCGAAGCACGATCAACTACTATCATGAGCGGAACCCTCGGACTATCTTTGAGAGTTTTTCTTTTTAAAAGTACTAAAACTCATCTTGAATCCCTATCATCTGGTCCCTCCTGATCAGATCGGCGGAGAAACAAAAACCCCTCTCTTAAAAGTGAAAACCTCGTGATTGTGGGAAAGTTTTTCTCATTCGCCAGTCTCTCATCACCTCGTCATCCGGCTTTCTTATCGCGTGCACACGTAGACGGACCCCGTAGATGACACCGCATGTAGCAACAGTTCGGTCATGTGGGTCCGGCCGGGGCTACGTGACGCTGATCGCCGGATTGGAAGGGCCCGAGGGCGCGGGCTCACTCTTTATACACTGCCCGGTCAGCTGATTCACGCTGAGCGGATTATTGATGTCGTGAGGATTCGTGCCGACGGGATTGCGATGGGTTTGCGGGGTTGGTTGCTGCGTCGCCGCAGCCGATGCCGTCGTCACCGCCGCTCCAGCCATCGCCGCGGTTGTCGTCGTTGGTTGATTGTGCGCCGATTGACCAGTGTTCGACAGGGGCGGCGGCGCCACCGGGGGCGTCAACGGACACGGACACGGGCTGGACAGACTCGAGGGTGATGGTAAGACCAGCGAAGGACTCGCCAGACTAGACAACGCGGACAAGCCTCCGGGACTGCTGAGGGACTCGTCGTCCTCAGGAGTTCCCGCCTCACCTACGCTGCCCAGATTGTCCTCCGAGTGATCGTCCTCGACTTCGCCGTCGGCTTCACCATCGCCGTCTCCTCCCTCCCCCATGTACCTGATACATTTCTTCTTACGTCTGCAAATAACAATCGAGAAATTAGTACGTGGTCGTCCAAGTGGCTCGGGGGCTAACGTCAAGAATATCGATCGGAGCAATTTCCATCTGTGAGATCTTGCTTTTTACTTTGATAGCATATGCTGCATATTTTTGTTCATGTTTTACAATTTCGTGAAACAAGATATTTTTTTACGATAAATTATTAGAATGACAAATCTGATACTACAACTTGGCAATTTTTAAATTAATTTTAATTTGAATCTCAACACGTGTCTATCTCTGCTCGGTAGAAAATCCTCACTGTTGGAAATGCGTCCGTGAAAAAATATGTTATACATCTAGAATTGTTACAAACTAAAAAAAAAAACATGCCATCACTCATGTCATCACCGCAAAGTCAGACGCACAAATTTGCTTTTCGAGTTTGATAAATTCTCTGCTCGGTCTTTGCCAGAGTAAACGACGATCTTTGTGCGCCTGACGATGCTTGAATTGCTCGACACTGATCACTCGCTCGCAAATGCCATGCTCAAGAGATCCTTAGACGTAACAAGCATAACGTGTAAGAAATTTATACAACGTGGTAACGAAACAATAAAACTCAATCGAAATGCCATCAGGAGGGGGGGCATCTATTGAAATCGTTGATCATCCGCAGATCCGCAGAATTTCGCGCGGTTCCTCTTTCTTTCTTCACACGCGATCTGTCGATTTAAGACTGCCAATTTATGTTAACGAGACGCACTAAAGCTGTATAATGTTACGTGGAACTTGGAATTAGTTGGAATAATATCGCGTCCAATTATAAAGAGTTCAAAGAAAAATTCTTTTTTTTTTTTTCAGTCGCGTGAACACAAAGATGGACATCGACAAAGTAGTAGATTTCGAAATGACGAGAGGAAGAGATAGGCTTGTTTTTTTTGCTACTGCACAATTTTCATAAGTGAGCCTGTCCGACCTCGTCTAGAGAACTGCTTCGCAGTCGAGACGACATATTTTGCCGCTCTGCCATTGGCTCTCATTATTTATCTCTCAGCTGAATCAGTTAGCTTCTCGTCGGCCGTATACCGTCGAGAACGATCGGAGGATGCTAGTCAAATTCGCAGTCACACTTGTGCGAATTTCAAAGCGTTGCACAAAACTTACGAAAGTTGAACTACTCCTTTCAGTGTGCGACAACGGACGGTATTTGAAAATCTCAGTCTGGATTGCAACATATCTCCTTCAGAGTTCTAAAAGCTATATGTATATTGTTTTTGTTTAAAAAATTGTAATTTTCTCCCAAATTGTCATATTCTTTCAAAGATATCGAGAGATAAAATACTCTTTCTTTTTTCTTTTTCTTTTTTTTTTAATAATAAATGCCTTTGTATATATAAAGATAAAAATAATATTAAAAGTATATTGCAGTTGTTCGAAATCCATTCTGAGACTTTGATTAACACGAAAATGTGCAAAATTTCGATTTAAAAAATACGATTCTACGCAGTCAGCCAGCGCAGTTCTTTTCGAAGGAAGTGCCTCGAGTGGTTATTCGCATTATATGTATATAAAAACACGTTATCCGTATGAAAAAAATTACAAAAGAAAGAAATGATTAGACATTAAAGATAAACAAAAAAAAAAAAAGAAAAAAAGAACACATCCGTACAACACAACCATCCGATCTTAAATCGTACGAATTCTGCCATGCTAAAAAAAATAAAAATGTATAAAAACCTTCTATATATGTCAAACAACGTTCCGAAATCTGAGCAAATAACTGTTATATGTACGTAGATATATATATGTAATATATATAAATATATATAATATATAATATGTATATATTATACAGACCAGCCATGCTAAGGGCAACACTGAATAAATTCCAACTAAACGAGAGGATAAATAAATAACAATAATAAGCTGTAAAGAGCCACAACAATGAGAAACAATGCGAGCATCACACGGGCCACCGTCAATGTCGCTCGCTATGGCACCTTTGCTCGTATTTTTTCACGATGATATCTGGTCCGCGCGAACCCCCCGTCCAGGTACCAGAAAAAAAGAGACCTTTTGGTACCCGCACGGGAGTGAGTACAGCAAAGTATACGCGTCTCCTTTCGAGCAGCATCAGCGGGACCATAGCGAGGACCAACGGGGACCCGTAGGTTTTCAAAGTCGGGACTGACCACTGTTTAAGAAGAAGTGTTGCAGTAGAAGGGAGGCGATAGGCTTGACTAGAGATTAACATAAGTGGGTTCTTGCTGAGGCGAGGAGGCATTGGAGGCAGTGTTGGTGTTTGGCGGGGCGGCGGCTGTTCCCACCGTCCCTCCACCACCTCCAGCCCCGACCCCTGCCCCCGCGCTACTTCCCACACCGTGATGGATTATGCTCGCGTGGATGCCCATCCCCGCTCCATGCTCCACTGGGCTGCCAAAACCAACCACCAACCATTAAAGGGGCGCACTCTTGCTAAGACATATCGTCGACTTAATATCCCACCTCAATCTCGCACCCGTATCGTGTCGTCACCCACACGCACGTGTCTCTGTGTCGAGGAAAGGGGAGGAAACCGAACCGGATGTGTTACCGCTTTTCTAACTTTTCGTCCTCCGCGACAAGTGAAAGAACAGAGCCGGCGATCAGGACGTGACATTATGTTCAATTTTTCAGGTTTTAAAATACGAGGGGGATGAAATAGCTGCTACAGAACATTTTTTTTTTTTAATATTTTCTTTTTGAATATTGCAAATGAAATTTTTAATATTTTAAACATCATAGAGATCGTAGAGTATTATTGCCGGCCCCGTTGGAACGAACTAGGAACTTCAGTAAATGTGGAACGAAGAGAGACGGCGAAAGGTCTAGTGACGACGACTGTTGCATCGATCAGAAAATATGTCTCCCAAATGTTCGTGTCAACGCGACGATTCAGAATTTATAACGCACCTTGGTAGATTATGCTAGTATTGCTCTACAATCTATTACGCGTTATACAATCCTCCAATATGATATCTTTTCTCGGGTGTCCGCGCGATAACGCGTTCAACGACGAAGGCACAACGACAACTGATACAGGCGGTATTGTAAGTTACGTGCATTCAATGCAAAAAGTGCAATCAGCTAAATTCAAATGCAACAAACTAAGTGCTTCCGTTATTCCAGTGAGGATCACTTTTTTCAATTTCGATCCTGGCAGAACTATTCTAAGTCAGAGGACAATCGCACAATATAAAATTTTACACGCTTTCACGACACGAAAATTTTACATTTTCTAAATTCATTCCCACATGCACGCGCGGTGATGAGAGATTGACAAAGCGATCGAGAGAGAAAAAGACTATATATTTTCCACCCAAATGACGCTTGATCTGACGATCACTTTCTTTCTCTCATCGTGCAAGAACTACGAACGGAACCGTCGACGGAATTTGTCCTCGCCCCTTTAATGAGGTCCATGAAATTCACAAACCCAGCCGGGAGTTGGGGCGTTTGGGCTATGCCATATTAGAGTGACTATTTGACGCTAAAAAAAACGGGTGACAAACTCGTGGACAAAGTCGCGAACAAACTACGAGAGTAGTGCTAGTCAAAAAACCGATATTTACAAGCCAAGTTGGACGCAGCGTCCCGCACAACTGGGAATGGTCGTGCTCGATCCCCTTTTTCTATTTTTTTTTTTGCTTTTTGGAAGACACATTTTCTGACGCCGCGCAGTCTCGCTGCGCTCTTATTTCTCCTTTGTTTCTTTCCTCGTTCGTTTCTATGCTATCCCAGGGCGACACCGTCATCGCGAACGTATAAGTCACATTTGACCCTGCTATTAACGTCATACATCGATATTTATACGTCTTCCCGGGCACCGATATACCGTTTGGTTGCGTCTCCTCTCTTTCAAGTTCCACGGTAACATGTGGATGACGGGAACGAGGTCCGAGACCGACACGAGATGGCGAACGTCGAGGATACTACGTAATTGTGATCGGTATCTTCGCGAGCGATCTTGAAGAAAGTCTTTTATACGCGTTCATGTTCGTTGGCAAAAACTTGGAATCTAATTACTTTTGAAGCGTCAAGGACTTTAAAGTACCGCTTGCCGTAAATTAGTAAATTGTTCGATTAATTAGCTGAAATAGTCGACGTTACATCCACAGAAGAATTCGATTTTTTTCTTCAAAGTTGTTTCGCGAGTACCGCATCATCTACTTTGATCTTAATAGCGAGACGATAAGGTAAAAAAGTAGTAGTCAATGTGGACGTGACACTGTTAGGCTCAGACGGACTTGTGTAAAAATTTTAGCACGTATTTACATACGAATCGCAAAAGTATCGTAATCGCGTAATTCGACAAAGTCTAGAGAGAGAAATCACTGCAAACATACCTGCAGGGCTTGCACCACTGGCTCTGTTGATCTAATCCGTACCTGGCGCGACATTTCTTCATGTTATTACCTAGAAAAGGGAAACGGAGCAACGATTAGTACGATTAATGGTGGATTATCGAACGAGTGAGGGATTTTCACTATTCGACGTATGCTATATTCTGTCAAAAGAATGACGTTATTGACATTGACGTTTTCGTTGTGTGAACAAAATCAATTCGAAGTAATCTACGATCACGTGAGAGAGAAAAAAAAGAAATGACAGGTTTATGATATATATGTTTATGTCGACAAACCGTGCGGGATTGTCGTGTATGATATATCGAATGCAAAAATAATCTAGTATATAGTGAATCGGTGCTCGAGTTTCTGCGTTTAATATACTTATGCTTCGGTGAATGTCAAAACTTAACGAATGTCAACTAAGTCATGCGTGTAACAGAACGGTGGTTACAACCCCTTGAGATACAAAGATGATGGGCCTCTTCAAGACCTTCTGAGATCTTACAGATGTTTGATTTTGCAATTCATAGATTGCTTAAAAAATTGTACAAGAAAATATTATTTCGCACAATTTCAAAGCAACGAAAACAGATTTATTTGGTCTCGATCTCAAAGGGTTGTCCATGATTATATATATATCGTAGGACCTTCGTTGAAGACGCTATGTAACATGTCAAAGAAAATAGAGTCTGTATGAAAATAGTTTAAATGAATGAAGAATTACAGCAGATATAGCTGCGTAAAATTCAATCTCAGGCAACTTTGATATAACGAAATCAATAGTCTTCAAGGAAGGACCCACATACACACATATCAATATATATATATATATTTACATATATATATTGAGAAAGATACGAATCGTCTGTTTTGAAACCGCAGTGCAAATCCATTTTTTGAAGACGTTATTAATTCACTCACAACATAAGAGATGTTGATGTAAATATTTTTTCCCAGATATTATTTTTCTACATTTACGATTAAATTTTCCAAAATAAACAACTCGTATCTTCGTTAAACGAATAATAAATATGGCATGCAACGTTAACGTTAAAACGGCTTAAAAACACGATCAAAGATCTACTCGTTTGAAATGTCGTGATTTGTATTATATAAACACAAGCTTCCGGAATTTATCTAACGAAAAAAAAAAATATATATATATATTAATTATGAATGTAAGCGCTCTATCGCGTGAGCGCTAGTGAACGAAAATTTCGTATGTGGGAGTCGAGAATAAACTGAGTGATTCGATTAAACGAAAGTTACTGAGTGACGATAGAACGAAAATAATAAAATTAGAATAAAAATCAAAGGGTCCAGGCAACATTGAAACGATCAAAGAAAAATAAACGTACGAATCGAGAGTCGAAGTATAGGTATAACAGAGTGGTAGTGAGAGAGAATAATAAAGACAGAGAAAGAGAGAGAAAGAAACAGAGAGGAAAAAAGATGGAAGAACAGAAAAAATGAAAGTATAAGATAAATATTCACAAAGAAGCAAAATATCAATAATAAAGATCGAGACAGAAATAGGAAGAAACAGAGAGAACATAGAAAAAGGGAAAAATAGAAAGATATAGAAAAAGACGAAAAGGCTGAGAGAAAATTAAACGCTCAGGATTGTCTGATTGCGGAGTAGGTCCCTGTAAAAATGCAAGATGGCCAGCGTCCCCAAAGTTGTATACGTAATTAATAATAAGATGCGTTGTGTCTGTCTCTGATGTATGTTTTACGTGTCGTGTGTGTAAATGTCAGGTGTTCCCGGTGGGTGTATTGCAAATACATAAGTACGCACGTACTTTCGCGATTTATATGAGAAAATTATATATATATATGTATATATAATGGAGTCACATTTATATATATATATACATATATATATTAACGTATATGCGTGTATATGTGTATATGTGTGTATAATATAATATAATAGTCATATAATCATATATATAATATATATAATAAAATATATCGACCCAAAACCCCTAAGATGGGGGGAAACATGCAACATAATGTAGTGTAGCAATATAAGAATGTATAATATAACAGTATATGTAATAATGAGTGGGGGTGGAGGAGGCAAGGGGCTTTCTTTCCTTCTTATGACTGAGGGGGGGGGGGGATTGTAAGAATGTGTGGATGTGAGGCATGTGGGTACCTCCAGGATCACTGTTTGTGTCTTGTTTGCGCTTCCTCTTCTTAGTTCGGTTGGTATTTGCGCGGGAAGACCAGTCAGGGTACAGCTGCATGTGCAACTGTCTCTCCCGTCGCGCCAACTCATAATACTTGGCCTGTTCCTCTCGCCCTAGCGCGTGCCACTACCGAGAGAGAACCAAACACTTTTTTGTAATTGTGCATGAACCGTGTGTGTACGACTAAACAATATTTTTAATCAAGGAAAGAAAAAAAATTTTTCACTAATGCTACTGCCGCCACCCTAATTGCGTTAAAAAAAATATTGGCTCAAAAGAGTCGGAGTTATAGCTCGAAATTTTTCATTTTACTCTTTATCTATTTATTATATACTTTTATTTGTAATCGTTGCCTCATAGCATTTCAGTAACACTGGGGTCCCTACTTTCCGTTTAAAGTGCTAGAAGAACAGCCTAAGGTTGTCCCCTCCCCCTCGGTCGCACCGCTATTCGTCGATATTATATTCGATAATTAAGAACCTAAAGTATACAGGGTGTCTGATAGAGAATACGCTGGCGGATGGGAGGAAATTTACTGTAGCACGCGTGAAAGAGTGAAAGGGTAGTGTCGGCACGGCTATATACACTGAAGAAAATACGCTCCTTAAGGGACGTCGTACGCAGCTGGTGTACACTCTCGCGATCACTGAAAGATATATATATATATATTTTATATGATTATTTATTATTAATTTCACATTTATTTATTAAATGTGCGCAACTGGAAGACTGAGAATTATAAATGTGCCATCAATCAGACAATTATTTGCCCATTGCAGGATAGCTCAATTATATTTCACTGTCCTTCAATCCTTTCGGCGCTATTGAGGCATTCCGTACAACAAAAAAAGCGCAAAACGTTCCTCCAGTGTATTTCCGTTCGCCATCTGTCCCAGTTCCTCTCCATATGAGTCACGCCACTGATTGTGAGACTGCAAAGGAGTTATTGCGAGACTTGATCACGAAAAGCCATCACTTCCCGAAAGAGACGCTCGTTTCAGGTAAGCTAGTGGCTGTTAATAGGAATGAAAGAAAGGGGAGGAGAAGAAAGAGGAATGAATTTCTCGAAGGAAGCGAGACACACATTGTCAGTTTCTCGTTAAATCGCCGCGAGCGCGACTCGTCTTGGGAGGTAAGCGATTGCGAGCAGATGTCGTCCCGCGGCGAGAAACCGGGGGAAAAAAAAGAGAAGAAAAAGCGGGACAGGCCCCGGGCTCTACCAGACAACCCATACCTAAAGGCTTTGGTTTTCACTCTCGCTCTCGTTATCGCATCATCAGTGACGTTAACTCGTCTCGTCACATTTCTTCTTGCTCACCGGAGAACGAATACCGCTTTAGGGAGTTTGGCCAGATAACAAAAAAAGAGAAATTATATACGATCGCATGCTGCGCGAGAGTCCGCGTTGATTTTTCCTCCGTATCTTTTAGATTTTCGTTTCTTATATTTTTTTTATTTTTGAACTTTTCCGTTTTTCTTTTTTTTTCTTTTCAATTCTCTGCTGCGCCACATTCCACAATCCCCACAGACAATCCAATCCAATTCAGTTTTCGAAAAACGAAAAAAATATACATATATGCAATATATGTACATATATATAAAATATTCAAGAGAAAGATATATATGTCGATAAATATATATATATTTCATATATATATTTTATATATATATATACATATATATATATTTTGCACGAAAAAGAGTGAATGCCAGAAAATCATAACAAATGAAAAAAATTGTATATAAAAAACGAAAGTTACAAAAAAGAAACGCACAGAGACTTTGATCGTTTCAATCAACCAGTATAGGTATTATACTAGCAATTATTATATAATGAATTATTATAGGGCCTGCTGTTCTAGCACTGGAAAGTGGTACCTCCGGTGGGATCTGCGGAGCGCTCTTTCTTCCTCTTCTTCTTCTTGCTGCCATATCCGTAGTTATCCCTGGCACTCCAGCCGGGATATCGTTGTTGATGCAGATGGCGTTCCTGCCTGGCCGCCTCATAATACCGCGCCTGCTCCTCCCGGCTTAGCGAGTGCCACTGCGTGTCATACCCCCAAAATTCAGATTCACAGCCTCGTGCACCTCGTCCCCGTTATTTCTCTCCCTCCCTCTCTTTCTATCTCTCTCTCTTTCATATTTTCTCCCTTCCTCTCGCTCAAACCAACTTATTTACCATTAGCGACACGTCTATCATCGCCAAGAGTCCCGCAAAAACCACCCCTCGGCCCTTCCCTTTTCGTGTCACAGCATTTTTTTTATCAAGGCGAATCCGAGATTTCCTTAGATCCCACCTACAATGCTCTATTCGTACTGAGATACTACGTAGGTACGGTTAGTTAGCTCCGATTGGTAGCCCGGTAAAACTATTTGCTCGATAAAAGCGTTAAGATGCATGCAGTAATCAGAATGTAAAACTCGTTTCAAAATCTTCAATAAGCGATCGTCGTCAACATTTTCTCTTCGTCTATCAGCCGAATGGTATGGAATCAGAATTGTACTGATACTCGATAAAAATATACTAGTTACTGTATTCAGTTCACGTAAAGGAAATCGAAGATTGAATTGTTATTTTACAAGCAGAATTTATTTTCAATAATTTATTCTAAATTAATCTCGAGCAAATAAATTTAGGAGAAATTAAAAATAGTATTCAAAATATTTTCACAATCTTGTCTCTCTATTGCGAGAGAATGTTGACTTTCGCATATCTTAATTATTCTTACATCAGAGCGTGATAATTTAATCTTATTGGATAAAAGCTCACACATCGAAGATGATACACTCTGTGTAAAAATGATTTATGATACTCGATAAATGATGAAAGTGAAACATTGAATAAACATCGAGACATCGAGATTCGTGAATGAACTCTGATGTAGAACAATTTATTTAAAGACTTGATAAAATAATCAAAGTATAAATTTTTACTCACTCGTCTCCCTAATATTTGGTTGATCGCGGCGCTCTCCTTTAAGGTACACTCTGCTACAACCTTCGCCCTCATCTCCTTCATGTACAGCATAAACGCGTTCAAAGGCTTTTTTATATGGGGTTTCTTTTTATCTGTCAAAATCACAGCGTCAAGATCAAGTGAGAGCAATGAGAGCTTTAAATAATAAATAACTCGTACCGTATGTGTATAGTGACTTATCCACGTATGTCACCCTAATTTTCCTTTTTTTTTACCTGCGGGTGAACCGTAATTCTTACCTTGATTGTTTTGTTGACCCGTATCCTGGGCTTTCGCGTTGTCCGTAGGTAACGACGTGGAATTTTTCTGTTCTATCGTAGACCTGCAACAGGCATAAAAAAAAAGATTGAGCATTCAGTGAGAGAGCCCGCGCATTCGTATTCTATATAATAAACACTCCCTCGCACATCAATCGCGTGTACCGTTTATTAAAGTAGGACTGTTTGGCCTCAGGATTCAGGGGTTCGGGTTTCGCGCAGGATAGGGGGTAGGTCGGCGCGGCGTTCTGGGACAGCTGGTCGGTCAGGTTCGGCGTCGGCGCCGGCGTCGGCGTCGTCGTCGCGCCGTCAAAGTACGGCGGCGCGGTCGGTGGTAACGTCAGCGGATTCCTCAGGAAGTTTTGCGGCAGCGGCCAGTTCATCTGCTGCCACATGCGGTGTCGCGCCTCCACCATCGCCAGCAGCTGAACGAAGCTCTGCTGTTGCTGCTGCTGCTGCTGCTGTTGGCTAGCGCCGTACGGCGGCGGCGCGATGCTGCGCGGGGCGCTCAGACTCGACATCTGCATGAGGCTGCTCATGTAGAGCGCGGTCAGGAGCTTGTGATCCGCGGCTGGTAAACCGCCGGACTCGGCGGACTTGACCGCGTCCTGGAGTATCGCCATGTTATCCTCGATCGCGTTCTCCTCGGCCGCGAGAACGGCGTCCTTCTCCTCGTCGATCGACGCCTCCGCGATCCTTTCCGGCCCGCTGTCGTCAGTGTCGTCCTTTTTGATCACCAAATTCAGCGGCTCCAGGCACTCGGCTGGCTCCATCGCCACATACGGGGCCTGCCTGGTGTTTACTCGCGGCCACACCGCCGAGATGATCCAAAACGATCCATGGAACGATCCTAAACGGTTTCGTCACCTGTCGCGTGGCGCTAACACTATTCGAGATATTATCACAGTAGCAAACGAAACAAAACTGTCATTCCGAGATAATGTCACTCGGCGCTAGTAGAGAGTCTTGACCTCATCTCGTTCCGTGTGTTATTCTCTAACGTTAACACAGGGGAAGCACAGACATATCGTACTTCCGGGTAGAGTAGGTACAGATAATCTCGTTCTGGTCCGGAGCCGTCGACACTCTCCTGTCTCATTCACATCCTCGTGTGCTCGCGCTATATAGCGAGCGCGTGAAGCGGGGCTCGGTAAACCGGTCACAGACTTGTAAACAGCACGTACGCGGCGGTGGCGCACACGGCGACACTTACACGCCGTCCGTGGCGGTCCATCAGACGCTGCTGCTGTGGCGTTATACGCGCGTATATCCGGAAGCCCCCGTTATGTTATGACGTACGTAGCCGTGGTCTGCCGCACGTCGTTGTCCGCACGTCGTCCGACGTGCCTCCTAACGGCCCCGTCATCGCCTCGTCGCACTATCGTTGTCGTTTTACATTAACACACACCCGCCCGCTCCCGCCTCGCTCTCGTCTCGCTTTAGCAGCGCCAGTCGTTGATGCGACTTCGTCGCCCGGCGATTCGTGCGGTGAAATGTCTCCAGGGGCGGCATCCCACGGTCACCCATTCGTCATATCTCTCCGTCTCTTTTTCCCTTCCGGCTCTCTCTGTACACCACCCTCTCTGCCCTTTCTCGCTCTCTCTCTCTCTTTCTCTTTGCTCTCCCGCGTCTCCCTTCCGCCGCCGCCAAACCCCCCTGTATACCCAGCAAACACCCCTCCCCCCGTCTATCTCTCGTCCGACGCCGACGACTATAGCGCGCCTCGTATCGCGAAAACGCACCCTCTCGTCAGGATTCTCCGTTTGACGTTTGCACGCACGCACGAAAATTCCTCTCGATCGACGCGGCGGCACCTTCTTTTCTCTCCTCGCGTTTCTCGGAAAGCTGGGGGTGTCTTTCGCGTATTCTAGCTCGGAATTCTGTCTCTGACTCTCTCTCTCTCTCTTTCTCTTTCCTTGCCTCTCCGTCGCGTCTCAAACGCCGCGCTCGTTCCTGGCGTCAGCGGAATCACCACCGACCGGTGTTACGACGATTGATTATCGGCGAGTCTGGGGGCGGCCGGGGGAGGTTGCGCGAGGAGGAAGGGGGACGACGGTGGTGCAGGGTTGCGCGAGGATGGCATCATCGCGATTCATGGCTCTCGATCGGAGACACAACCCTACCATCCGCCGGTTCTATAATTCCAAGAACGTGTGGGGGGACGCGAATATCGCATTCTCCGTGGGCCTTCTCTCCTGCGTGCCGCTGCGACTATTTTTCTTTTTTTTTTCTTTTTTTCGCGGGTCGTCGCGGCGCTGTCGTCGACCGCTGATCAACCCTAACTGTCCTGCTGCCACTCGTCAGCGATGCGGCGAGCTGACAGGACGGATAAGCTTCTTAAGATCGGTCTTCGAATCTCGAAGGAACCTTCGGGTACTAGCGATCCCCTCCCGAAGAAGCTTGGCACGCGTGAAAACTCTAGTCGGTCAACAGCGGTGACCTTTGATGCCTGCACTCGCGCTGACTCCCGAATAAAAATTGAAGGAAAAATTTTCTCAACGCGTCTAATCCATCTCCGCGAAACACAACATCCGCGAAAGTTTATTCACCAACATCGAGGAGTCTTCGCGATTTACCGCGAAATGGAAGGCTTTTTGTGTCACTGATGCGGCAGCACACGATGGTTGCCTCCCCCTCTACCCGGGACGAGATAAACGTACAAACGCGTGTCCGGAAAGTTGAGGGATGCTATTAGCAGTTAGCCTCGTGGATGCGCCATCGATGGACCAGGACGCCGCGTCAGCTGGTCTTCCATGACGTCCCGCACTTGCGCGCGACGTATATATATCTAGTGCGGCTAGTATCGCGCGCGGCCACGCGCCTTTGTATGCCACCACGCGGGTGCGGGGCGGGCGATCGTCCGGGTACTAATGTAAATTAGAAATCTGTTTAAGAGGGTAATGATCAATACATAACTGGCGGCGTCGGCGGCGACGGCGGCGGCAACAGCGGCGGCGTCGAGGCAGCCAACAGGCGCAGACGCTGTGCGGAGAGAATCATTCGATAAGTGTTATACACGCTCTCCCGACGACGTCGATGGGAAGGGTAAAGTGAAGAGTGCACGAGGGTAGGTCGGGACGTGCTACCCCCTACGGTCGTCGCGTCGCAACTATCCGTGTCTCACCCCCGGCGCGACGCTTCCTTATCAGCAGACGCGCCATGCTGGTACATGACCACCCCCGATCTTGCAGTTGTCAGCGTTATTCAGGCGTTATTATCGATCGCCGGAGTTGGTTCTCGTATTCGGCGGGGTGGAAATCCACTGAGCTGAATCGGCATGCGATCGTGGGGCGGTCAGGAAGATCCAGCGCTGTCATCCGGAGGATAAATGTCAGCTGGAGGAAGTAGGGGAATCCTTGCAGAACACCGTCCGATAATAGATAATGTTGAGTTAATAATGAACGGTTATCCGTAGGCGGAATATTGGTTTGGCGATCGATGGAATTCCTCTTTGTTGGTTGGATAAACTGCTGATTGAAAATGCCATTCCATGATTGAGAATTGCGATGCAATCTCGCAACTCTCGCTAGATATGTTCCTCAATCGTTTCTAATTGTTTTTCCAAGATTATTATACATATTTTTAATTATCCAGCGAGCGTAATGTTTCCTTATAATGAAAAAAAGTGTTTACCACAATAGAATACTGAGTTCTACATCCTGTATGTAAATGTTGTTTGCGCTTGATTATTTTCCATTAAAATTTTTTTTTTTTTTTTAATCTGTTTCTTTACGCAAGGATCTTTTATACAAATATTCATTTTATCGACTTGCAAATTCTTCCTCATGATGAGTTTTATCCGTCCGCGAATAAAAGACGATGCATGAATTTTAATTACATCCACGTAATGTAAAATTAATCGGCGACGATATAGATAAAATTCTTCTGTAATTTCTTTAATTGAGTTAAAAAAATTAATGCAAAAAGTTTATGCATCTTTGTTCCAAAGATTATAGCCCCTTTCTTATATATATATGTTTCTCATACACTCTTTCTCTTTTTGGGACGTAAAATTTGTAATAACCAGCAACACGGTAATCGATCGTTAGAGGTTGTTAGCGTAAACGTGAATTGCTCGTAAATTATTGCATTAAACATTTTGGGACTTTTGTGGACCTCATTTTCGAGCGATTCGCACAAAATGAAAGAAAGGAGCATAATTGAATTTCTCTTAAATGGAATTAGTGAAAGGCAGTGAATAGTTACTACTTGTAACGATCTCATTTATATAATACAGACTTCTGAAAAAAATCAATTGGTAATAATTGGCTGTTTCTTTGATATTAAAAAAATGTTTTACATTATTATATTACATTTGAAATTTTACAATATATTTTGTTAAAGAATATTTGAATCTTTGACCAAGAGTTTTGTTCACTTTTTATGAATTTATCACATTTTTTAAATAAAAAAAGTAATATAAAATTCTTTATTACTGATTTGCAGTAAAATTTTGCTGTCATAATTAACAGAATATATATGTGAAATATTAACTAATCTTCAAATCTTGCGTCACTGCTTAATTAGTAACATTTTCACTGATTCGATTTAAGAGACACCGTATAAAAGGGATGAAGGGGATGATACGGAGTGCATCAATAGAGCATATAAACACACACACAGGGATAATCGATGCTCGGTTTTGGTGTCGGGTATTCAGATGTCGCCAGCGATATCAAGAGAGATACTGTGAGAACAACGAACCTGTGATTGTGATCCAGGGTGGAGTGATCCGCCTTCGGCGCCGAGGACACCAACGCGTGCGACGCCAACGCGTGTGCGTGCGGACTGAGACCTGGATGCGGTGGCATGAGGCTCGTCGGCGAAAACCGGTAGAGATCACTGAAAGATCAAGAGCAGAGTCTATGAATCGAGAAGAGTCTCATCTTCGTCGTCGTGCGCTGATATAACGCTATCTCGCGCTATTTCGCAATACGAGGCATACTTTTACTGACCTTGATAAACTGGAACTCGTGATGGGTAAACTTGTGGGATACGGACTCCGAAAGCCGGCGTTTGCCGGCGAGATGGGATACATGCTCGGTGTGTGCCTGTAAATATTTATCGTTACAAGTCGTCATCATATATGTATGTGCGGGAGAAATATTTTTTCACGGAAAATATTTTTTCGATATATTAGAAAGTCGCGGCTACCGAAATTTTTTCGCAAACTGATCGATCCACTTTCGTACATCGAAAAAAATTAAATTAATAAATATTTGTTTCAATACTGCCTAATAAATCATTTGTAACCAATAATATTGAATTGGTGTGAAAAATATTTATTTGATATAAAAAATCCTTTTCAAAATAAATATTTCTTTCTTTCAAATAAAAGATTTATTAGGCAGTATTAAAATAAATATTTAAAAATGGTAGTACTTTAATCAACCAACTCTGGCTATTTAATAATCTTTATTTAATATTCACGACGTTTCGGCCATGGGTTTCGGCCCTTATCAAGTGCTACAAATTATAATAATGACAATTATTAGAAAATTAAAAAATTAATTAAAAAGTAACTGAGTAACAATAATTATTTCCACACATTAATATGTATCCTACCTAAAACACAACTTTCTATATAGAAACTTAATTTCTGATCTTAAAATGTGACGTAATATAATGTGAAACAATTAACTATATTATTGTGTTGGTTTCAAGTTCTTTATATACTCATTACTTCGATCAAACTAAACGACCTTTATTAGTTTATCGTAAACAATATTTAGATTATCCGTGTCTTTTTGTAAATTGATTGTGTTGTCAAATTTTTTGATAAAAAACATCTCCGCGATTTCTCTTTTTCGTACATATTTCTCATGATGTAAAATTTCAGGAGCGGACCAATCAAAATCATGACCATTATAGAATTTATGATTACTAATGACTGAATAATTACTATTGTGTACCTTAATGTTATTAAAATGTTCTTTTATGCGTGTGCCTAATTGTCGAAATAAATATTTATTAATTTTATAATTTTTGTCAGGGTAGTGACGCTAAATATTATATCTTTGTATACATATATGTATACATATAAATACAGCGTGGTAAGAGTTTTTATTTATCCGAGAGGATCATATTTATGCGCAATTTTATAGACAGCAATCTTCGTATTATTATGGTAAAATTTATACAAAAATTATACGAAGAGAGATTGCTATAAAACTGCTCTTAAATACGATCCACTCGGATAAAAGCTCTTAGCACGTAACACATTTATAATAAAAAGAAAAAGAAATTGAACGAATAAAACAAAAAGGGAGAAGAGAGATAAATAAAATAATAAAATAAAAATGAAGAGAATTTTTAATTATCTTAATTATTATTATTATTTTTAATTATTCTAATTATCACTCGAGTTGATTGCAATTCCGGTCAAATGACCCAACTAAAAATATTGATCGTGGTATGACATCGCGAGTGATTCGTCGAACAGCGACGTTGTAATTTCTGCATGTAGTGTCGACACAGTTAATTAATTATCATTAACACCGCGGGCCACCGACTCGTAACAGTAATTAGTACATGCCTCTTCGGGAATGCGCTGCTCGCGCTCTCGTTGCCAAGAACACAGAACTCAGCAGACTCTGCACTTTGCGTAATAATAAAAAAAAAAAACGCCGCCGACCTTCTCATTATCGCAAGTGGCCCTCTCCTGGCGTTTCATTGCCCCTTCCCTCCTCTCTCTTCTCTCTTCTCTCTTTATTCCCTTCTTCTTTTCAGGCCGTCGTTGAAAACCGCGAGAGCGAAATTCCGTGCGCGAGTGCGACATCGTCAATATTTCTTCAAGCGCGCAAGTCTTGCCCGTCTCGAACGCGAGCAAGGACCACCGTAAGACCTTTCTAATTGAGAAGAAGAGGGCCTAATCATCCGTGGAAAATCGCAATTTGGAGCGACTCGAGCGAAAAGCAAATAACGAGCAGGGGAAACCGCACACGCTTCGAAGACTCCGAGCGTAAACCTGATCGTGAGGACCTGTCTCCTAAAGCGAAGGGTGGGTGACATCTACGAGAGATGAGGCAAGGACGATGAGAGGTTCCGTATCCGATCTAATAGACCGGAACTGAGAGGATGACCGCCTCGTCCACGCGATTCATGCGACACGATATATCTGTCGAGATTTTCTCCGGAAAATTTCACCCGAATGCGAAACGCCCGCGTCGCAATTTTATCAGCGCGTTTTATTTCGAAAGGTCCTCGATTATAACGAAATATAATAGAAACGGTGGCGGTTAAACGAGAAAGGTCGCTTTTTTTTAGGCGTCGCGTGCTCGCCAAGTACTCGTTAGTAACGAGAGAGGAAATTAACGAGAACGGCATATCTCGAACCGGAGAAACCCGCCGACGACATTTATCATGCAAATGCGCACACTTTACGTTGAAAGAGAATTCTAGCAAAGGGAAAAATTTATCAAGGCAAAGGCCCGGGTCCACGTGACGTTTCTCTCCCCTCTGTATTTTTTTTCTGATACTTTTATGAATATTTAACGATCTTTGTGCGCAAATGTTCGCGATGCACAATTTGCGTCAAGTGTTCGGATAATTTTAACATCGCCAAAGACCGCAAATCGGTAATGTGATCGAAATCCAATGCTCTCCATTACTTTGCATTTGCGTTTACTGCGAAGCGCGAATCGATTATTTAACGCGTGTAATTAATATAAAATATGATATACATATATCCGGGAATATGTGCAAAATAATTCTTGTTCTATGAACACTGGCGCGCGCGCGTTTATCTCGCGAAATTGAATATCACTGATCTCATCGCATACATTCACTTGAATCTATACATATATATGTATAAATATATCTGTAATTAAAATTGCAATAATATTATGTAATATTTTGTTATACCCAATCGCGAAATAAATGTAATTATTTTAAAATTAAATTAAAATCGGAGCTTCCTGCTCCTTTAAAATTAATGTTATATATTTTTATATAAATTTCGTAACTAATGAAAGAGAATAAAATGGAAATATTTTTCAGCGTAAAATAAGAGATAAATTTCAAGATAAAATTCTAAATAAGCATTGACTTACCAAGAAGCGACTTGCGTCATTTCTGGACTAAGCATGGGATATGGATACTGGCCCGTCGAGAAAGGGTACATTGGTGCCCTCGTGAGACCTGTAACAAAACAATTATTCTTGGTTCAGTCAAATAATCATAAAGCTCTTTCTACCGCTTCACTTATTCCAATCGTATACAAAATTCTATTTTACAATTATGTATATTCAGATTTTTTCTTCGTGTAGAATCACAGAATTTTTATTTTTGATATTTATGATCTCGTTCGTGCCAAGTGTCTCGTCATCACTTCCGTTCTTATGTGTGTTATTTTAGTCATTCATAACCGAGACTCGCGGATTAATGTACCTGGATGTAGAATAAATCCGCCGCATCTCGCGTCCGCGATTAACGGCGCCATAACGCGTTTAATCTTTCATTAGCTGGCGGCGTGACCAATTTTACGGTCACTAAGTGATGATGTTCAATTTAATCGTGGCGAGATTGCGAAATCAAAAAAAGCCGAACGGCATAAACGAACGGCTACACGAACCGTTTCCGTAATTTACGCCACGCACGCGAATCTCTCTCGGCGGAAACCATTTTTTTCAATTATTTTTAATCGACAAAGTCCGTGCATCTATATTTTATATGTGAGAACAAAAGTTGCACTTATCGCGCAGTTTAACAAAAAAAAAAAAAAATATATTTTTTTAATAAAAAAAAAGAAGTAATAATTTTTCATAATTCTATCGAGATGGTGAATAATTTTTGTTTCTTTGAATTTTTCCATTAAACTGTTTGAAATATAATATATGTAGATATGAATAATGTGACTCCCTGAAAAAATAGTTGTTTCATTTTTCATTATTATAGAATGTCTATTCAAATCTGATGAAAAAAATTCCTAAAAATTTCCTGATTGTTTTTTGTAGGTATTTTCGTTGAATGCTCGAAATAAAATAAAATATTTTTATGGATGCAATTCTTTAATATAAACTTATTGTATATATTCTTTAATTTTTTATTTTTCTACTCGATGAAAAAATTGAGACTTCGATTTCATATGTAAGATTTGAACAAATATTGAAGAAAAGTGGATAGTACTGAAGGAGACCTTTGTCTTCTCTGAGTTTATCGAAACTTTACAATATTGTGTATTTTTGTGCGAAAAACACGAATCTGTAAATTAAAATTGTGTCACTCTCGAGCAGAAAAAAAATACAATGGCTTCTGCACCGTAGAGGGGCCAGATTTTAATTTACAGATTCGTATTTTATACACAAAAATACACAATATTATAAACGTGCTATAATAAGTTTATCTTAATACGATATCAATAATTAGACGAAAATTATTCTATCACTTTAGCAATAATAAACTAATCATTTCATTCACATTTCGACTATTCTTCTTCGGTTTCGACGTATTTCGAATTACTTGCCGGTACTATTTTTCCTGTAGGAAACTAACCTCTGCATACGGAACTATCTCCTCGTAGAAGAAGCTTCGAAACATTTGCACTCGCATTACTTTTTTTCGTTTGCGAAGCGCGACGATGCCCGGGTTTTAGCTATCATATTTTCGATGCGTTTTCAGTCACAAAGATATCTTGAAGATCGCGTAGAAGCTTCGCCGATTATTTATTGTCAAGCACGTATATCGAAGATGATAATTAACAACGTAAAGACACTAATTAATACTCACTTCCGTACTTTCGCACACCGGCGATGAGCGCGCGAACGTTAATCATAAACAATGCAAAAGTGCACTAGAGGGCGAGCAACATTCTATAATAAATTGTGTTTGGAAATATATTCACCAGAATGCAAAATTTGATCGACCAATGAGAAACCGAGGATTTCTTTGTTCTGATTGGTCGATCGAGCGCTCCACCCTGAGTGAATATACAATATTTCCGAACACAATCTAATCGTAAAATGCGATTGCCCTCTGGTACACTTTCGCATTGTTAGCGATCATCGTTCTCTCGCTCATCGCCGGTCCGCGAAAGTACGCGAATGTGAGTATTAATTAGTGTCTGGATGTCGTTATATGTAGTTAATTATCGTATAACTCCAATCGCGATCGCGCGCGCGAGATTGACTTCGTCATCGCGAATCTCGCGCGACGCTCGTTCGCCCGAAAGCGCGTGGTCACGTGACGCCACAGCACTGACTCTAACCCGCCAAAAGTTCGCGCGCGCAAGTTTACAAGGGCGGATCGCAAGAATTATCGGGCGCTTTCGGCGCGAAAATTTCTGGAGTTTTTCGACGTTGTCGACAGTATTCTAAATGGGCGATTGCGCGTTTCCGGTTGTACTTTCGCATCATCGCGTTGAAGGTATCGTTACGCGACGAATTAGACTCGTAATTCTCGTAGGTAAAAATTGTAGATCGATTTCGACAAGAGTCGCGCCGCCATATTGTCAATTTTTTTCGCGACGTCTCCGAAATTCGCGCTCGACAAAAAATAATCGGGGAAGTGCCTGCGTGATTTCCGCGATTTCTTCGTCGTCAAATATTCAGTGGAATATAAAATATTGTGAAGTGTGTAGTGGCCAATTTGGAAACATCGACGACTCCTGAGTGCGTCGCGGGGAAGTTGTCATTGTCGTTCGACAAAGTCCTCCGATAAGTGGACCGTGAGAAAAGCGGCGACGCGAAAACGGAGCATCGGTTTTATTCGCGCGCGAACAAGCTCTCGCGTGTCTCGCGTTGCACCGAAATGCGTCGAAAATGTGATAGTTAAACCTTAAAACTCGGGCGTCGCCGCGCGTCGCAAACGAAAAAAAGTAACGCGAGTGCTAGTGTTTCAAAGTGCAAGTGCAACTTCTTCAAGGAAAAGACCCGGAATTGCATCGGGCAACGGCGGAGCAACTATATGGTAAATGATTTATTTATTATTTATTTTACGGTGTTATATTTATTTCATTATACTATTATTCGTTTATTATTTTTTATTTAAACTTAATTAAATATTCTCATGTATGCAATCAAATAAAAACTCAATGTCAATAATTTTATTTTTTAAAATCAGTTATTAAATCATATTAATTATTTGAAATTTCACTATATAATTTCCACGTATTTATATTTTACAGATTACAACTCCGCTGCTACGCATCGTATCGGTGAGTCTCATCAATTTTTACTTAAATTTTGGGTAATAATTTGATGAAAATTCTATTCGATTTTCCCGAAACTTTACAATAGTGTATTTTTGTGCGTGAAACATGAAACTGTAAATTCACTCCCCTCCCCAACAGGAGGGGAACGACCCACTGTAACATTTTTCTACTTAAGAGCGACAATTTTAATTTAGAGATAAAAATATATAATATTGTAAAGTCGAGAACGGTGCTCTGCTTCAGTATTACGAAAAAGTAGATATGGTTTTTAGTTATTAGTTATTCAGCACATTTTTCACTTGCATAACATTTTAATTCTATTATTATCAAGAATTATATTGAAGCTTGTATATAATATTGAATATTCAATATTTTACCGAATAGAAAAAGATACATATATATAAAAATTAATATTTATTTGTCGAATAAAGTATAAAAAAATATATTTTAGGCATTTCTTTTATTATTTAATATCGCTTTATCAGTCATAAAGACAATATACCAATAAAACCAATAAAATCACTATCTCAATATAATGCAATGTAAGAGCAAAATGATCAAAGAGACAATCTTTTTGAAAATTTTCTGAGAAAAGAAATCCTCCAGAATTTCCGGTCTTCTAAATCCAGAGAATAGACATCCTGCATTAATCAATAATTAATATTATTATTCTATTATTAAAATATTAAGAACTTTTGTACTCTTCAATGCGCTGACAAGCGTGTATTTTTTTAATCGCGCACATAAACGTATACAGAATAAATATTATCACGGCGAGATCAAAGAAACGGTGCAATTGAACGAAAAGGAAACTATGCGTTTAATATATCGTGTGAGTTTGCACTACAAACACACGAAGCAGTAGAGATCGTGCTGTCTGTCTCTTTCTATCTCCCTCTCTTTCTCTCCCTCATCAAGAGAGAGCAAGCATTGATCAGCGTGCACGGCCGCACCCTCTGTAACTAGCACCCGATACGAAGTGGAATGCATACGCCATCAGAATCATCATCCAGACAACAGTCGTTGATGAAATTTAACGCCGAATATAACACGCCCGGTCGAACAGATAAACGGTATCGATAACAATCCGATTTTTACATAATTTCGCTCGATCAAGTCCACGTTACATTAACGGAATTACATGCTATTCCCTTGAAAATTTGTCGACAATCGTGTTATTCGTTTAGGATTTTTAGCGTAAACGATTGAAGGATGTTCATCGAGAAAAAATTAGTCACTAGTTAAATTTTAGCTGTCCCTATATTACGACCTAAAATTTAATTATCATGTCTAAATTTTAGCTATGATAACTAATATTTTTTAGCTATAGTTTAACGAAGTATTCTACGATTAAAAAATATTAGCTATCATAGCTCAAATTTAAGCATAATAGCTAATTTTTTTTTCTATGTTGCTAAATAATTGTTCGCTAAGGATAAGAATAAAATATTTTGCGAATCATTTTGATCACTTCCTGAATTGTTTCTTCGCTAAACATGGAGATTGCACGATGTTAGCAAGAGTATACGCGTAGTTCTAAGCAAGGATTGTATAGCAGTTAAAAAAAACCCAATCACTCAAATAACACAAACTAAAATTACGTGGCTATCGCGGGCTGAATAACGGACAAGGTATATCGCTTTTACATCGGTATCTAATGTAACTGGTACGTGCCGCGGAACCGATCGCGGCTCCGAGCGAGAAGAGAGAACCCAGGGAACCGTTGGGCGCGGGTGTAAGTGGGGTGCCTTTGGCGAGGCGAAGTGTAATTGGCTTCATAAGGGTCGACGAGAAGCGCCCGGAGTATCGGCAAGCCTGAAACCGCTTGACGAGGCCAATACGTTCCTCTCTCTCTCTCGTTCCTTCCCTCTGCCGTTGCCATAGTCTCTTTTTCTACTGTCATTCGATGCAGTATACGCGAACGGATTGGATGGACTCTCCAGAGCTCGTTCCCACCCCGTTCCTTTTTGCGTTTTGCGGGCGAACATGT